TGAGCAATGACAATAATAAACGGCCCCTAGTCCCCGGCGGCCCCGCTATTCCTGGCTACGGTGGCGACCATGGTAACGGCGGGGCAGGGTGTGCTAAGAATCTCCAGTGGAGGTTCGGTTGCCACCTACGACGACTCGACCTGGCAACATACAACGCACGCACCCTGAGGACTGACGAGAAGATTGTGGAGCTGGAAGAAGAGATAGACAAGTTACGCTGGCATATTATAGGATTATCCGAAGTCCGAAGAGAGGGAGAGGACACGGTAATCCTCGAATCCGGCAACTTACTCTATTACCGGGAGGGCGACCATCTGTCCCAAGGAGGTGTCGGATTTATCGTCCACAAGTCTCTCGTTAACAACGTTGTAAAGATTGAGAGTGTGTCGACGAGGGTTGCGTACCTTATACTCAGAATCACCAAACGGTATTCGCTGAAGGTCATACAGGTTTACGCACCAACCTCGGCACACCCCGATCAGGAGGTGGAGGAAATGTATGAGTATATATCTAGAGCCATGCATTCCTCCAAAACCCAATATACGGTGTTAATGGGAGACTTCAATGCAAAACTAGGCACAAGAGAGAACGGTGAGCTGAAAGTAGGGAAATTTGGAATAGGGCAACGGAACCCAAGGGGCCAGCAGTTGGCTGACTTCATGGAGAAAGAGGGACTCTTTATGATGAACTCTTTCTTCCAGAAGCGGCCCCACAGGAAGTGGACCTGGTCGAGCCCCGACGGTTCGACAAAAAATGAGATTGACTTCATTATGACGACCAGACGACAACTGTTCAGTGATGTCTCAGTGATCGCGAGGGTTAAAACCGGCAGCGATCGCCGAATGGTTAGAGGCACACTGAACCTAATCGTTAAGTTGGAGAGGTCTCGTCTAATGAAGTCAACGCTCCGTCCCCCTCGTGCTCTAATCCAAAGTCCCGAAACCTTTCAGCTCGAGTTACAAAACCGTTTTCAGTGCCTAGAAGACTGCAATGAAGTGGACGATTTGAATGACAAGCTCGTGGAAACTGTCCATGCGGTCGGAGCTAAGTTCTGCAAGACCCGCCGCAGAAGAACACAAAAACTCTCCGATCACACTCTTAATCTCATGGCTGTTAGAAGGGAGATGAAGCTAAATTCTTCAACAGACTTGACAGCATACAGGCATTTGAACAGACAGATCTCCAAATGCATGCGGCGGGACTTACGCAACTTCAATACAGCTCGTATTGAAGAAGCGATCGAGCGGAACCAAGGCTCCAAAGTCTTTGCCAGAGATCTGTCTGCCAGAAAGCGCCAACTGTCAAAGCTGAAGACAGAATGTGGCAGCATCGTTTCCGGGGCACCTGAGATTTTGAGTGAGATTGAGAGGTTCTATGGGCAGCTGTACACGTCATCGTTGGAGCCACACGCAAGTGTGAGTAACGATCCAAGAGCGAGTCTTATCCGACATTATTCCGATGATATCCCGGACGTCAGTCTGAGCGAGATTAGAATGGCTCTCCAGCACCTTAAAAACGGCAAGGCCCCAGGCGAGGATGGAATTACAGCGGAGCTTCTGAAAGCGGGTGGAAAACCGGTACTTGAAGTCCTTCAGAAGCTCTTTAATTCCGTCCTCCATGGTGGCCTTACACCGGAGGCGTGGAGCAGAAGTGAGGTGGTCTTGTTCTTCAAGAAAGGCGACAACGCTCTCTTGAAGAACTACAGACCGATTTCCCTTCTGAGCCGCGTCTACGTGCTGTTTTCGAGAGTCATTACGAATCGTCTCGCGCGCAGACTTGACGACTTCCAGCCTCCCGAACAAGCCGGTTTCCGAAAAGGCTTTAGCACCATAGACCACATACATACCCTTCGGCAAATTGTACAGAAGTCCGAGGAGTACAATTTGCCACTATGTCTGGCGTATGTGGACTATGAGAAAGCCTTTGATTCCGTCGAAATTTGGGCGGTGCTGCAGTCCCTTCAGCGATGCCAAGTTGACTGTCGGTATATCGAAGTGTTGAAGTGCTTGTACAGTAGGGCTACGATGGCTATCCGAGTACAGAACCAGAGTACGAAACCTATCCAATTGCAGAGAGGTGTAAGACAGGGTGACGTCATATCCCCGAAACTCTTTACCGCTGCATTGGAAGATGTTTTCAAGCTTCTGGACTGGAAAGGATACGGTATCAACATCAATGGCGAGTACATCACTCACCTTCGATTTGCCGACGATGTAGTCCTTATGGCAGAATCGCTGGAGGACCTAAGCACTATGCTCAATGACCTCAATAGTGTTTCCCAACGGATAGGTCTTAAGATGAACATGGACAAAACAAAGATCATGTTTAATGTCCATGTCACACCTATGCCGGTAGTTGTTGGGAACACTAAGCTCGAAGTTGTTGACGAATATGTTTACCTGGGACAAATAGTCCGACTAGGTAAGTCCAACTTCGACCGAGAGGTCAATCGACGGATTCAACTCGGTTGGGCAGCGTTCGGGAAATTACGGCACATCTTCTCGTCAGGTATACCTCAAAACTTCAAAACGTCCCCCCACTAGATGGAGTGACGACCTGGTAAGATATGCAGGAAGTCGATGGATGCAGGTGGCTCAGGACCGTGCTTTGTGGCATTCTTTGGGGGAGGCCTATGTTCAGCAGTGGACTTGTGAAGGGCTGTAATGATGATGATGTAACTAATGCAGTATCCATTAGTTACATCATATTACAATGGTTTACATCAAATAATTTTGCTTTCTGATTTTCCATAGTGTGATGTCCAATGGATTATTCTAGTGGTGATCAGCAGCTCATATTGAGAAAATTATGTATACTCTAAATGAGAATATTAATTATATTAAACATACTACAGAAAAAAGCCATCCATGCCTTGTACAATATTATATACCAAGGAACTCATATTTTTTTATAGTATAAGATAAGATATGTAAGCAGTTACTGTGACCTATAGACATCTAACGCAGATGCCTCACTTCCAATGAAAAGGGTCTCCGGTTCTCCACACTCACCATACGAAACACAGCAGCATCAAGGTGCTATTTTACGCTGGTATTCTGTGAGAGCGTAGCCCTTCCCCTGTCAAGCCGACCCATTCGTGCTACAACTATATAACTAATATAGCTGCAGCATGTCTCTACCACGTGTAATAAATTAATATCTTTAATTTTGTTTCACAATTCATACTGGATAATATTATTTATGTTATAAACTATATTAACATTTTTTTATTAAACGAATGGTGTCCATAACTGTAACAGCTTATTTTTTGTAGATCTTTAACTAATAATAGCAAGGTTCCCTTTAGTATTAGTGATTTGCCTTTGTTTCAAGGCACATGAAAGCATTATAGTAATGAAAGACAGTTATTATAAAACAGATCATTATTTAAATAACAAGAGTGCTTGTACATCATGAGATCATTGATTCTTGGTTTTTCTAGATTTGTGTATATATATTTTCTTACAATGTCTCCCACAGTAGGGGATTGTTAAATCGATGATGTAGTATTTTGGTGCACTGTCAAAAAATTAAAGGCCAATTTTAATTAATAATATTTTGACTTCATTTTTGAGTATGAGCCATGATACACTGCAGTGTAACTTCGAATTTTTACTTTTAAGTACAAGCTTATTTCCTTAATATACACATTATTTTTACTCTAGCAATTACTAAAATATTTTGAATAAACATGAAAATGCACTTTTCTTCTTTTGTAATTTTATCTACAATATTAAAAACTATGATAATAATAAAAAAAAAACTAAAACTAGAAACTTAATTATCATATAGTCCGACTCCCCGCGGTATCGTGCCAAGAACGCTGGCTGCGTTTCGCTGGCTATACTTAGCCTTTGAGCGAGGAAAGAACCAGCCCTCTTATCACCAGCAGCAACGACCAGCCGCGGTTGGAGTTCCTTTAGGAACTTCACCGCACGTGGACCCCACGGACCGATAGTCTCTACAGCAAATGGCACAAATATGTAGTCATCTCTCAGAGACTCATATTTGCGCCACTTACTCAGTTCAGCTGCCTCTGATGCCGCCCCGGCTTTAAACGAGGTACCCCTGAGATGAGAGGCCGCCAGAGTGTCTACGCAAGTAGCATTCCACACTAGGGCTTTACCTCTCTCCCAAGGGACCAATGTCATACCGTATTTTGTAATTATCTTCTTTTTTATCTATCTTCTCTTATATAATATAAACAGTAACTGAACGTCTTTGCTGACTTGCTGCAATCAAAGTAATCGGCGGCAGGAACCCACAAGTCGGCCATATCGCTCCACATATTCTAGTCACGTCCGCGACCAACCAACAACGCGCCAATATTGAATTCGCACACCGTGCACAAGTTCAACTGCTGGTGATTACACATCAGCATAATGTTGCCTGCACGTTTAGAATGTTGCAATTCTTATCTACCAACCGTTTAGTTGCATTTTCAATTGAATATTTTACAAATTTCTTTTACCAATTTTCAACTAAGAAAACCTTAAAACTCAGCAATTGGGCAGTCGCTTTAAAAGTTTCATATGTAGCTAATAATGCCACTTTTTTTGACTCCACAGAGTTAGTATTTTATTCATAGGGGTTATTATTTATCTAAAGCTTAGTTCAAATAATATGTTTTACAAATATTAAACTGATATTGCTAACTAATTTAAATTACTAATTTAATATTTATTGAAGAGGGGCTATTAATATATTAACAGAATACATAGACGATAATAAATAAACCCTGGGATGAAGTGGTCGCTACCAACATATCTACATAATAAAACTGTCCCCAGACCAAATCCTTGTTCATTGAATGTTTATGTATTTAAAATTTAATTTAAACTTCTTAGTCGATTCAAAAGCCAAATTATTTTTGTAGGTCTGTGATTGTGTAGTTATTGTATTTGAAAACAATGGTTTTAAAACGACGACACCCACGCGAAAATAGCTGTTTTTCTTAGGATTCCACTACACAACGTACGCGGTGATGGCTGTATAGTTAACTATAAACATACAACATTCAAGTAATTGTAAAATATTCTTTTATTAAAAAACGTGTCGTTAGGTTTTTCGCTGGTTCTGCTTAGGGTTTCTTGTTGGTTATGTTGAAAAACGAAAGTTCGCCAACATGCATTGAGACAGCGCTGCGGACACTTCCTTGCCCTAAAAACTCTCAGAAATGAGAGGAGGCCTGTGCCCAGCAGTGGGACCGTATATAGGTTGTAAATTTAACTAACTTTATATTTCGACTTTGACTTTGTATATATATATATATATATTTCGACTTTGATATTATATATATATATATATATATTTCTATTTCCTATTCCTTTTTTTAATGTACAAAATACATGTTTCACTTTCTACAGTATTTACTAAAATGTTATGTTAATTTTTGCTTGTTAGCAATAAATGAAAACCTGACTACAATATTTAAAAAAAAACTTTAGAAACGACCATTAGTATAACTACTCGTCTAAGCTAGCATATGCGATGAGTCAGGAACGAGTATTTTAATATACAGTAGCAGACGCGGGTAAAATCACCAAACATTTGAAAAAAACAGGCGTTAGAAGTGAAATCTTCAAATGGAATAAAATATAAAATATACATAACATTAATTTCACGGCAAATGTGAAAAAAGTTTATTTATTTTTAACTACGAGTGCCGCATAAAATATAAGATAAAAGTTTAATTTTATAGCAAATAATTGATACAATCCTTATTTTTAAACATGCAGTGTACAGACTAAATTTAGTGCAATAAATGAAAAGAAGATTTTCATTCGATAAAAACTGCTTTTTAATAGCGCCATCTACTTCTGTCATTTTACCATTTAGTAGTTTTACCGAGACAAAGATTGATTAACTCTGAAGTGATCCAAATAAGACTAATTTATTATAATATTCTATCTCATTTTCTCACAAGCTAAATCCTATAGATGTATATATTTGTCTATTTTAGTGTCGGTTTTCGTTTCATCGAGTTTCAAATCGCAACGATTCTAAAAAAGTAATCACTCCAAAAATCTTATTATCTGTGCATTAACGCAAATACTGTGCAGATGCTCAGCCAATAAGATGTAATTATACTGGTTTTCTATACCGTTCACAGAAACACAGCAGCGCACACTTGGCGGCAGAAATAGGTTAGAGGTGGTGCTTACCAAACAGAGTCTTACTTAGAAAAGAGTGAGGTCCTACCACATAGTAATAAAAACTTTACAAAAGATCTGAAAAACAGTTGACTCTGCAGGCCATCCCTGGAACTTCCCACTTATTTCCAAGCGCAACGCTCGAAAGATTTCAAAACTTTCGAACACCGTTTGGCCCATCTAGATCGATTGAATCGTTGTAAAGATATCGTGCGACAAAATTTCATTTACATGCATACATACATACATACATACATACTTACACACACACACACACACACACGCACATACACACAAAACGCATGCACGCACGCCCGCTCACATGCATGCACAAAAACATACACACACACGCATGCGAGCGCTCGCGGCCGGACCTCCAGCCGGTAATAGTCGGGACGGCTTCCTAGGACCTCAAAACGTGGATATCTGATGAAAACTCGCATTCTCAAAATCGAACCGAAAAGAAATAATTAACAGAACTGCATTTAAAACCTATTCAGAAACTAATTAGCAAAACTAGAAACTAACATTCTTTTTAAAAACTAATTAGAAATACAAGAAAAATTAAAACATACGAGTAAAAAAACATTGAACAAAAACAATTTACTTCACGTGTTGCGTTTCCAGGGTAAAATTTTTTAATTTATAAACAAGTAAGTGTGGATTTTATTATACGAATATTCAACGGAGTTTACCTGCAAAAATTAGGAATAAGTGTTAGCACAGTATAAACAATAGTACTAAATCAAGAATAATCTCACGATGCGAAACAACCTGTTTTTTTTTTCTTTCAGCTCTATCCTTTAGTTTGGAGAGACAATGAGTTGTTAAGTATTCGTAAGCATTTCGAATATAATATAAGATTTTGAAGTTGATATTACCCGTGATTTTATTCAAGTGATTAAAATCGGAATATAGGTTTTAATTGTACCGATCAAGGCTTGCGAAACTATAGGTACGGAATATGGTGGGGATACTTACCAGGTCGTCACCCCATCTAGTGGAGAGCCGCCCTACAGTTCGCTGACCGATATGGGGCTGCCACGACGAGAATCTTTCTTTCCCATCGATTTTCGTTTCTTCGAACTATACTTATAGCTGGCCCATTGGCAATCCAATTTATATAGTTATTTATTACTGGCTGCATATTTCTCCCAAGGACCATCGGTGTTTTAAGGGAGACTACCCGCAATTTCGGCTACATCGACACTAACCATCCGATGGATATAAAAACGAATATTATAGAAGTAACGGAGTATTGGCAACTGTACAGATTCACTAGATGGCGATATAAATATTTCTTTCTTAACAGAAATAAAATAACTACGCAGACGATGGAAGGCAGTGTCAAAGATGCGAGACAATTTTTAATAGTGTGGTCGCCAAATCGTCAAATAAGCATGGTGATTACGACAAATCAGACTTGTTGAATGCTCACGTCCAGCAGTGATATGTTTATATGTTTCGAAAAGCTAGAGTCAGAATATAGTACTGATTTTATACCACCCAAATGGCACCTGATTTTTGCGAGTACATTTCTGCCAACCTGTCTCTAAAGAATTCAAGAACTGAGTATAAAGCGGTCTGTTGCGTGTACTTACATACTCCGTTATTTTTTCTTGTACTTTTAGTTCATACATGATTGTATCCCATCGCAACCGCTCAGGCGCGTTTTTATAGTAATGTCCTCCAGAAAGAATCTCGATCACAGCGACCAGATTCAACGGATACTAGCCATCTGCGCAGGACAGGATTATAGTGTCCAAGTGTATGCGCGAACACAGGTGCACCCTCCATTCCCTGTACACGAGTTCATTGTCTGACAGCACGGCAATCCGACACGACCGAAGGGAGATCAGGTGCAGGACCAACGGCTTTACGTGCTATCCGAGGCTTGGGAATGAAACATCGCCAAGTTCAAGACTCCGAGCTGCTAGTGAGAATTTCTTAACAAAAGAATCCAAACTGATTTTGGCCCCCCTGGAATTCGAACCCGGGACCTCAACATGGTCAGCAATCACGTTTACGATCACTAGTTACCAATGTGCACACAATCCACTTAATGATAAGTAAGGATGGTTGTTCCGATAAATACCCACATTTATCCTTGATTAAGATGTAAAAAAATATCAATATGTAGATACTCCTACGTTGTCATCTCTGTGGATTAAGATAAATACATAGACCATTATCATGGTAGAATGTAAGGTCTCATTAATGACTTATAAGACCATAACTTAATGTATAACATCCTGGCAATAAATAAAATTGAATTGAATTGAACACAGCAGGATTAAGCTGCTTTTTTCGCTGGTATTATGTGAAAGCGTAGTCCTTCCCGGGTTGAGCTGAACCATTCGTGCTGTGACTATAACATGGATGCAGCGTGGCTGTGCCACACTAATTCGTCTACGCGACGAATCATCTTCATTTAATAGTATGGCGCTTGCCCGAAAAGTATTATATATTCGTGGCCCGAACAGCATTCTATCGTACATTTTATTTTAGATAATAATACCTCATTATTTTTCTCTAATAATTTATTGTACTTTATTGACGATATTTTGTAACTATACAGCTTTCAATAAGCCATTGCTGCTCATTATTTTTTATTTTTTATTGAATGAGGATGACAAGCGAGCACACAGTTCACCTGATGGTAAGTAGATGCTGTGACCCATAAACATCTACATCTATCTTAGATCAAGAATCAAAATGTAGATTAAACGCACCCTTGGAAACGAAGATAGAATGCCTTGTTTCCAGTAAAAAGTGACTGATATTAATTTATAGATCATTCTCATATAAAACTAGCAAGACTCGGCAGACGTCCCGCCTGTGTATACAACATCCATTATTATATAATACTCGTATATAGATTAAAGTGATAAGCAGACTAATTTGAAAATTTAAATTTCACTTTAGAGAAATTTTAATAAATGTATACATTAGTCAAATAAATTGTTTTCTTAAATTGCTAATTCTTTAAAACTTATCAAGAAAATTTATATTTAAAATTATGTATACGAGTATGCAAATGAGTTGTTAATCCTCCTGCATTTCAATTTCCAACGCAAAACGCAGTTTCTAACAAAATTGCTTATGATTTTAAAAGTAATTTCTCCTTTTTTTTGAAAATTTTGCTTAATACACTGTACCAGCTATGCGAGTTTTTCTAGTATTTGTTACTCGAATTAAGTTTTTCATAATTTCTATTTCTTCGTCTGAACCAATTTATCATTTATATTTATTTTTTCTATTTAAAGTACTTGCATCGTACATTGCATAAAGTACGTGCCATATATAATATACATGATTGACCGAATTTTTACTGCATAATATATATCTGTGATTATAACACAATAAAAATAATATCAAATAAGGTAGAACTTGTTCCGTTAGTGTAGTCATAAAATGATGATGCCTTATATGTTTGTTTCACTGGTTTTAAAAACAGAACCGCTAAAAATCGTTTCCTCGCCTGTTTTTTTTAACCTTTTCAATCATTAGTCAAGTAAGATAATCGCCTTTTAATCTTTTGTCATATTTAGTTTCTTTAAAGTCAAATATATAAACATGGGAATGTGAAACAAAAACAGTAAAAAGTTGCATTCATTTGCATATTACCTTTTCAAAAGCGGGCTATCTTATAAATGTAGCATTGCAAACACAAATATCAAGTATTTTTATTCCAATTATTCATTCTGCATGTGTAATGAAGCGTGCTTAATTGCGTCGGCAATTAGACATTGAAATAAGGAGTTCCATTAGGGAATCATTAGCCGGAGCGACATGCGCTCCGGCTAGATTATGAAATGTTTGCATTTTTTGAAAACTGGAGTTATTATTACTACAAAGAACATATTTATATAAAAAGAAGTAATAAACTTTCTGTCAACACCACTAACAAACATAAGC